ATTTTAGAATTATAAATTTTATTATAAATACAGTTTGGAAGACTCACTCATTTGCTCACTGCACATATAGTATAATAAAGTCTTTCAAATTAAGTTTATTTGGTTTATAATAATTAGGTCTAGGGTTTCTAGGGTTGGAGTGGAATGGGAATGGGGATGGGAATAGGAATAGATGGGGATTAGAGTTAGAGCTACAGCTGGACTTAGAGGTGGAAGTAAAGTTGAAGCTAAGATTGAAGGAAGCTCTTACTTATAGTTCGGCTGTTAGAGCTATTAGAGCTTTAGTTGGAGTTAGAGGTGGAACTAAAGTTGGAACTGAAATGGAGCTGTAAGAGTTTGGTTGGAGTTCGGTTGGAGTTAACCTTGTAGATGGAGTTAGAGATGGGGCTAGAGTTAGAGCTGTTAGAGTTGTATCTAGAGCTACAGCCGGAGTTAACCTTATAGTTGGTACTGGACTTGGGGCTGAAGTTGAAGCTAAAGTTGGAGGTAGGGCTGGTTTTACGATAAGGTTTTTTTTAGGGGGAGTTGAGAATTGAGAGTTGGGGTTTTATAGACTTTTTATTGTGTTATTTGTTGAGTGTGTGAGGATAGAATTATGAGGGATAGAGAGGTAATTGAGTATTTTATATTTTGTTTCATCAACCTAGTTGTAACATATATGTGAATAAGTGAATAATATATACCGATATGAAACGATATACGTAGAGGATATGGATTGGTGTTTTGTCATTTTGGGGTGAGGTGAGGTAGGGGTGTATTTTGGAGTTGTGGTTGTAGAGGATGTTGTGGTGTGGTATGATATGATATGCTACACTTTGTGGTGTTGGAGTACGTATACGATGTTGCAGATATTGATGATGATGAATGTTGGATGGATGGATAGAAATTTATCCAAATGAAATTCTGTTTTGAGGTTTGAGTTTTGAGGCTTGCGGATTTGTTTCTGTTTTTTGAGGGAAAGGGAAGGGGAGAGGGAGATGCTTCGGTTTAATTCCTAATTAGATATTTCATGCAGAATATGAGTCTTATGGAGGGTTAGAATTGGAAATGTTCTTCTTTACCATCCATCATCTTATCATAATCGATATCGTATTCTGAGATGTTTTGATTTTGGATAGTTCTAGACTTGTGTTTGTGGATTTATCCATGGTCTCCACTGTTGTTACTACTCTCATACCTCCCTATACCTACACGGAGTATACCGTAACCCTATAGATTACCTAGGTTAAGCTATAGCTAAGCTACTCTAAGCTGTACATACGTACTATGTACCTGAATGTATTCGATAATTACTGGTACTACTTGCATTTGCATATCACGTAATATGTATATGTGTATGTACATGTACATGTACGTCAACTATTGTTTCTTGTGCTTTAAAGGCAGTTGGTTTTATGTATAATATATATGTTATAGCTAGGGATTTAAGTAGGTTACTAACTGGACTACCTGTTTGAGTAGTATTTTTGTATCTGTCTGGAGAGTCGAGATCTAGGCCATATATGTATAGCTTCTAGGTAGGTAGGTATATAGATTATGGAGTACAGTCATATGGTGGGGTTCATTATTGTAATCAGTAAGCGAGCAGGCAGGCACACGGACTTTACGGGGAGGTTATCAAGGTAGATGGAGGAGGGGTTCGTTGGTTCGTTCGTGTTTCAGGGGAGGAAAGGTGTTAAGTGGGGTGGATTTCAGCTGTTGAACTTTTGGAGCTTAGCTTTCGTTGACGGAATCGTGATGAAGCATTTTATCGAGATTCTGAAGTGCGGTGGTGTGAACGAATGAATGAATACTACTACCTAGTAGGTGAGTTTACAGATGTCTAAGCAATCCATAATCATGATCGGTTTTTGCTTTATGTATTTAATGTCTTTTCCTCTTTTTTGTATAGCTACCTAGCTTACTCGAGTAGATCACCCGGTGGATGATAAAACTGACCCATTAGCAATAAGCAATGATGATAGGTGTAAGATTATCTGATGAGGGGTACAAAAAGAGTCCAGCCCGTTCGTATCTCACATTTCACATACATGTGAAAATACTTTACTCAATCTCACTTGTTTTACTTGCTCTTTTCCTATTGCCAAGCATAGGATAATTATCAATCATTCAATCACTCAATAAATCAATGAGTGATTTGTTACTGCATGTTTATTCGTCCTGCATTTTTATCCGATAGGAATTTGTAAACTACTATCGAATACTTCGCATTTGATCGTCACTGCACTCAAATTCGAACTCGGTATGGTCGGCATATCATTCATCATCATCTGTTTAGGGACGCTGCTTCTGTGGAAACTGGGAAATGCATATCATGGGTTTAGGAAATATAGGAAGAGAGCTTTGAGTACTGGATTTCCGGTTATTGAAACGCGTAAGTATGATTTAGAAATAGATGAGGTGTGGAAGAAATTGGTACTGATGCAAATGTGTGGCTGGTTTTAGCTCTTGCACCGATTGGATTGATGAATATCTTGGCTTTGAAATTTATAATTCCGATTTTAAAGAAATTACCTTGGACGAATCATTGGAAATGGCTGTAGTAAGTATCTTCTTTCCCCGCACTGTAAATCACAAATGTAGAGATATTCATCTAACATAATTAAAGTATAGCCAACCATCGCAATTCCTTCCTTAATCTCCGTAGTAGCTATGATATTCATGGCGATACGTATATATTCGCAGCATCGAATTTAAATCTGCTACGCACCACAAATGCGGAATTGATAGCACAGTTTACGACGAGGAAAAATGATTTCGTTAAACCGGTGAAGAATTATAAGGTTCTGGAGGTTTTTGGGAGTAATATAGTTACGACGGAGGGAGAGGAATGGAGAAGACATAAAAGGGTTGTGGGGAAGAGTTTTGGGGAGAAGAGTATGGGGTTGGTGTGGGAAGAGAGTATTAAGCAAGCGGATGGAATGTTGGGGTTATGGAGGAGGAGGAATGGAGAGGGAGGGAGGAGAGGAAATATGAATGAGGATTTGGGGTTGATAGTAGAGGATGCGGGGAGTGATACGGCGATTTTGAGTTTACATGTTATTTGTGCGGTGGGGTTTGGGGTACCACAATTGTGGGAGGGAGAGGAGAGTGATGAAGTGGTGGATAGGGATGAGATGGTGGATGAGGATGAGAAGATTGAGGGCGGCGGAACACCAGATTTGGGTTTGAATAAACCGGTTGGTGATCATACAATGGGATTTAAAGATTGCATTAATTTGGTTCTGAGTAGTCTTATAGTAAGTGGCAAGGGTATAGCCCATGAAGAACGGATGCTAATAGTAAGAAAGCTTATAGTTCTATGGCCAACATGGGTTTTGAGTAAGTCGAACTGCTCTTAAAATGTGTACCTTACTAACATATCAAGAATATTCTCCCATGAAGCGTCATACAGAGGTATATAAAGCATCTAAAGAAACAACACAATACCTAACCGAACTACTGGAACATAAAAAGAAACAAATAAAAGCAGGAGAACACGATAAAGTAACTATGGATTTAATGGGTAAACCATTTCCACCCGATCAAATCTTATTCAAACTAACATTCCTAGGAAACATGCTCAAAACATCCACCGAATCACCCATCCCCTACAAATCCCCACAAAACAACGATACACCACTCACCGAATCCGAAATAAAAGCAAACGCCTTCATATTCCTCCTAGCCGGTCACGAAACCACAGCCTCAAGCATCCATCTCTGTTTCGTCTATCTAGCCCTTTCCCTCTCCTCCCAAAAATCCATGCAAAAAGACATCGACAAAATCATCGGTACCAAACCCCCCAAAATATGGTCATACATACATGATTTTCCAAAACTGTACAATAGCATGATAGGTGCCGTTCTCAATGAAGAATTAAGATTACTTCCTATAGCGGAAACGATACCGAAAGTCACGGTGGGTGATCAATGGGTCATGGTTGATGGGGTGGAGAAACTCGTTCCGGGAAATTGTTACGTTCATCTTAATACTGTGGGGACGAATAGGAATCCGAGGTATTGGCCTCATGAGGTTTTGGAGGGGGGAAAAACGGATTTAGATGATTTTGTGCCGGGGAGGTGGATTGTGGGGAGAGGTGATACGGGGGTCGGGGAGGAGCGAGGGAATATGGTTTCTGTGAGTGAGGAGATGCAGGAGGAGGAGGAGGAAAAAAATACTTTGGATTCTGTACATGATGATATTTCTCCTCATTCTACATTATTCAAACCGGTTAAAGGAGCATTCCTCTCGTTTAGCGAAGGAGCACGCGCTTGTCCGGGAAAGAAATTCGCTCAGGTGGAAATAACAGCTGTGTTGGCGAGTATTTTTAGGGGATTTAGTGTGGAGTTGGATGTAAGTAGATGGGCAACTGATGAACAGGTAGAAGGGATGAATAGAGAGGAGAGGAAAGTAATTTATGAGATTGCGAGGAGAAAGGCGAAAGACGTGTTAGGGAGATGTAATCAAGCGCAGTTAGTGTTGAAGATGGCGGCGGAGGATAGGGTGCCCTTGAGGTTTGTGGAGAGAGGGAGAGAGAGATTTGAGGGGTGTTGATGGGGAGAGGGGCTGGCTGGGGTTTTGTAATTGTGTGGTGGGGAATAGGGGCTAGGAGGTTCTTTTGAGATTGATATGATTGTGGTCTTATAGTTAGCTAGCTATTGGTATCTATTGAGAATGTATATCTAATTAGATCTTCCTCTAAGTCTAGTACCCCCTTTTTGGACCACCCCTCTTTTGGACCACCTTTTTACACCAAAAATCATGATTTTCATCTATTAATAACTTTACAATTAATTGATAGAATTCAATAAAATTTGAATTAGAGATTTAAGTCTAGTACCTTACTTTCCGGCCACCTTTTTGTCACGATTCACCATTAGGATTGATGGTGTTACGATGGTAGCAAACTGATTAATTAGGAGAGCTTAGGCCTTGTGCAAACACGATCAGATTTCATCGAATTAGTATGTGATCTTGGTCACCTGAAGATCGTGTATACATGCACTATCAGAAATCATGTGATAAGGAGCCCTAGGAGCCCTCAAAGCTTTTAGAGCTTCAGGAGCCCTGAGAAGCTAGAAAGTTTCTGGGGGCTCCTTTCTTTGTTCATTATATAATCAGAGTAATTTCATAGTTTAGGAGCTTTGTGCTCAATTTAGTTATTAATTAGTTTATCTACATTCTATTTGATCTAATAACGAATTCATTTTCAAATGAATACCAATAATAAAGCCTTAATCTATAACTACCAATTGACGAACCTTAGGCAGCCGCTGCCTTTAGTATAGTATCGTTACACTTTTATATCAAAAATTGTGATTTTCATTAATTAATAACTTTGCAATCAATGAATATAATTTGATATAATTTGAAGTATGATTTTATTATATAGTTATAAATCAATTCTGAAAATTTCAGATTTTTCGGAATTTACTTCATTGAGATTTATAATCTTAAAACTTTTGATTTTCGATTTATATAGGATTTATATATAAATTTGAAAATCTTAAAAACCTCTAATAACTTTTCAAAAAAAAATTATTAAAAATGTTAAAAGGAATAGAAGTTACCGGTACTAATCACGTGTCGTGATTAGTAATACGGTTACCTAAACAGGCTAGATTAGACGAACCATAAGCAGGCATATTGGTCCCCTCCGAGGATACCAAGAGGAGATCTTAATATGCCTACACACGTAGTAATATAGTCAATATAGAGGCCTCTTCCACCCAATCTTTTAATAAAAAACAAATTATATTTTTTTTTTCAAATATTTATATGTAACGATACTGTACTGGAGGCAGCGGCTGCCTAAGGTTTCATCTGGTTGGTAGTTATGGGTTAAGGCTTTATTACTGGTATTCACTTGGAAGTGAAGTCGTTACTAGATCAAGTGGAATGTAGGTAAACTAATTGATAACTAAGTTGAACATGAAGCTCCTAAACTATGAAACTATTCTGACTATATAATGAACAATAAAGGGAGCCCCCAGGAGCTTTCTGGCTCCTCAGGGCTCCTGGAGCTCTAGGAGCTCTGAGGGCTCCTTATCACGTGATTACTTTCTATCCCAGGACACTAATCCTAATGGTGAATCGTGACAACTGCACAGTGTAACGCTTTTCACCTAAAACCATGATTTATTCACTTTTTCAAATCCCTGTTAAATTTTGATATAAAATAAAAAAACATACTTTTTTTTGAAGAAAATAAAATTTAATTACTTGAAATTGATTAAAAATTATTTGATTTATTTTTAATCATTTTTATTCAAAAGTTATACAAGATTGAAAGTAAAAGTTAGAAAATTTTCAAAATTTTCGCTTAATTTATATGGGAAAAGCGTTATACAATCAAAATTTTGAAATTTTATAATTTCAAATACTTATAAATTTTGAACAAAAATAGTTAAAAATAAATTATCAAATTTCCCAAAATAATTTTCCAATTAATTATCATATTTGTTAAAAGGAATGACCTCACACAGGGAATAGTGGGAAGCTGATAGGGCAGAACTGAGGTAATATTGGTCTTGTAGGTTAATCTCTCTTCTAAGTTCTACGGAAGTGCGAAGCTCTCTGTAAGAGAGCTTCTCAATCTAGTCCTAACAGGACTAGTGCCCTGTGCACGTGCTACGCAGGAACCTGTTACGAGGTTTGCCGTCTAGATCACGTGGAAGTGCTCCAGGCTCTCGAGGTGGTTTATAACTAGGCGTCAAGCAGGGACTTAAGTAATGACAATAATGATATGCAATTCGTAACTAATAGTAGAGTATACTAAATGATTGATCTTGAGCACGAAGCTCTATACAAAGGAAATCCATCTTGATTATATAGACCTTCATGCCTATGGCTAGTCAGGACCGCGCAGCGGTCCTGGACAGCCAGCGTTCCTGGACAGCCAGCGTTCCTGGACAGCCAGCGTTCCTGGACAGCCAGCGTTCCTGGACAGCCAGCGTTCCTGGACAGCCAGCGTTCCTGGACAGCCAGCGTTCCTGGACAGCCAGCGTTCCTGGACAGCCAGCGTTCCTGGACAGCCAGCGTTCCTCAGCGGTCCATAACGTGACTTTAATCACGTTACCTTGGTTTAGTCATGTGACGCGGCATAGAAGATAGCCGTTGTAACAGAACCATTCACTTTAACAATATTTAAAGATTTCAATTGATTTGATTAAATATTCAAAAATTTATTCAATATTTCATTTTATATGAGAAATTGTAGTTTTCTCGGGGATTTTGTCACAAAGTATCACGGTGTGCGGTGAGTAGATTCTAGAATTCTTATATAAATTTCATATAAATTCAAAATCGAAATTTCAATCTTTAAAATCTCGATTAATAAAATTATGAAAAATTTGAAATTTTCAAAATCTATTTATAATTATATAATAATTTTGTAATTAAAATTTCAATGGGTTTGATTTATTGATTGTTAAATTATTAATAGCTGAAAATGGTAATTTTTGATATAAAAAAGTGGTCCAAAAGAGGGGTGATTCAAAAGTAGAGTACTAAGCCTGAGGGTTAGAAGGTGTAACGATACTGTACTAAAGGCAGCGGCTGCCTAAGGTTCGTCGGTTGGTAGTTATAGGTTAAGGTTTTATTATTGGTGTCACACTCAAGAATACTGGGTAAAGTATCTTGTATTAGAGAATACTAAGCTAAGGAGAAAAGAAGAAGGAAAACAAGAGTAGCGAGTTTTCCTATGATTAAATGCAAACGGGGCATGCCACGTGACCCGGAGGTGTGAGGCGTCACAATTGGTATTCATTTGAAAATGAATTCGTTACTAGATCAAATAGAATGTAGGTAAATTAATTAATAACTAAGTTAAGCACAAAGCTCCTAAATTATAAAATTACTCTGATTATATAATAAACGAAGAAGGGAGCCTCTAGAAGCTTTCTGGCTCCTCAGGGCTCCTGAAGCTCTAGAAGCTTTAAGGGCTTCTAGGGCTCCTTATCATATGATTTCTAATGGTGCATGCATATACGATCTTCAGGTGACCAAGATCACATACTAATTCGATGAAATCTGATCGTGTTTGCACAAGGCCTAAGCTCTCCTAATTAATCAGTTTGCTATCATCGTAACACCATCAATCCTAATGGTGAATCGTGACAGAAGATTGGTTTGAGATTGATATAACTGTGGTTTTATAATTAGTTACTTATTAGTATATATGGAGAATGTATATCTAATTATATCTTTTTTTATATTATTGAAGGTTTATTTTCTATCAATTCTTACTGTAAATCTATAGGGCAGTGGTTTTGGTGGGATATAAGATTATTATATAAATAAACAATATTCATATAAGATTGTAATCTGATTAAATTGAGAAAATAACCCCAATTTGAATATTTTAATTAATAAAAATTCATCTATAATTTAAAACAAATGAAATCCCCTATTAATCCAGCAAATTATAGTTGTAACATTAGAACCGTAGCACAACCGGTATTGATATATATCCCACCCTCAATTTCCTTTAGATATCCAGATACCATTCCTAACATGGCATGTTCTAACCTGGGCTACTTTACCATACTATCCCCTTCTAGAATGTGAGTTAATCGACGAGTTGAGGTCCAACAGAGATCGTTCTTCTGAATGTAATCTTACGTCTCTCGTATTTTGCCCTGATTTGATCAGTCTACGGACGGTGCAAGCAGTATGCTGATAAGACTGAGATGATGAAATTCATGGGATTTGTTTGATACCTGCTGTTTAGCCTGCCTATTCTAGGGAAAGAATATATAATAGTATATATAGTGGTTTTTGAATGTCTTACAGCTGCTACAGTCACAGCATGTACATGAAGTCCTTCGCATGGCATGTCTTAAAGTAATTACCTCTAGACAGTAACGAATACATGCATCAAGGCTTGCACCACCATAGTCACGATTCGGCAGTTATTAGCTTTGAAATACACGGCATCGCAAAAGGATTTCAGCTTTTTAGAGACTATGTTACGATTTTACGCCTAGAAGCTGTAGTGAAAATGATCGCAGACTTCACCACATAAGTCCGGCATCAATACAACTGAAAAGTTTCCTCCCCCAAACTACTAGTCTTTGAACCATCAATCTATCACTAACAGGATACTTCACAAAAGTCTCAAAACAACACTATTTGGAAGTCCGAGCCGTGGTAGACTCAGAAATATTAATCCAAACCATTTTTACATGATCGATAAACTTGACGCTATCCTCATTAATCTTAGGACCCAAGACCGGATCAAACATAATAGATTCAAAGGCCTTGAATTTTGCCTCGTTCTCGAAGACAAGCTCGCTATACACATCGTAGTCGAAATCTTGGGCATTCGTGCCAGCATACACACTTGCTTTGTACTTCGAGTTGGACTTGTCATCAGATGTGGCTCCGTCAGAAGTTCGCACCACATAATGTCTCGTGTGTGTTTTTGGGAATTTATCGCCAGTGATTTCTTGGAGAATGGGGATGTGTACGGTTTCGTAGTGGTTCTTGAATTCTTCTGGTGTGAGTCCCTTTTTTCGCCAGTGGAAGGCGCTGAGGGTGAGCGGAGCCATTTTGTCGGATTCTTCTGTGCATGGTTAGTGTGGGATAATTTTCGGGTATGGTTATGATGGCACTTACTTTGAAATTATCGATGCTATAGCTAGTCGTCGATTCAATATTGTTTGTTGAATCAGGATCTGATGGGATATTGAAATCAAGAGCCACTGCTCCCTGCGAACGGTGATTGCATATTTAAGTAAGAAGCATGCTCCACTCGAAGCTCGATATTACACAGACCGAAAATATTCTAGCCTTTACGTTTGCTTGTCTTGCCGCAAGCTAATCTTAGATAGTAAAAAAGAGTAAGCTGAGTATGCAAGTAAGTGGCAAAGAATAATACATACTGGCTTCAAGTTGAAAACAAGCAGATTTGACCAATTGAAAAAGATGACTGCAGGAAGTCTTGATAAGACGACCCACCTTGTTGTTGGAGGTGGATACCAGCAGAGAAGACTACGGCTACGGCTACGTGTAACGATACTGTACTGGAGGCAGCGGCTGCCTGAGGTTTCGTCTGATTGGTAGTTGTGGGTTAAGGCTTTATCACTAGTCTTCACTTGGAAGTGAAGTCGTTACTAGATCAAGTAGAATGTAGGTAAATTAATTGATAACTAAGTTGAGCACGAAGCTCCTAAACTATGAAACTACTCTGATTATATACTGAACAATAAAGGGGGCCCCTAGAAGCTTTCTGGCTCCTCAAGACTCCTTATCACGCGATTTCTGATGGTGCGTGCGCATACGATCTTCAGGTGACCAAGATCACATACTAATTCGATGAAATCTGATCGTGTTTGCACACGGCCTAAGCTCTCCTAATTAATCAGTTTGCTACCATCGTAACACCATCAATCCTAATGGTGAATCGTGACACTAGTCCTAATAGGACTAGTGCCCTGTGCATGTACTACGCAGAAACCATTCACTTTAACATATATATATATAACGTGGTTTATCAGCGAGCGGGCCATATCACCGAGCGGGCCACTTTTACCTCAATTTATCATTTCAAACCCATATTATTTAACAACAATTAAATCAATTGATTGAAACTATCAAGAATCTAATAATCTAGGATCTATTATACTATTCTGACAAGTTCTTGAATTATGACCAGTCTTTCCACACTTACTACAGCATTGACTAGTAGATGATTCCCTATTAAAATTTCCCCCATTTTAACGCTCGTCGCGTTGAATCTGATTATCAATCTTTTGTTGTGATAATATATCTTCAGCTTCTTGTCCAGTAAGTACTCCTCCATTACATAATTGAATTTTTTTAGCGTGTCGACATTTACTTAATACCTCATTTACTCTTCGAAGCATACGATTCTCAGCACTCAAAAGTGTAACTTCATATACTAATCTCTCTATACCTTTAACTAAAGCTTGTACAATCTCAAATATAGGTGTAGGAGAGCTTGATTGATGACGAGCTATTCGAGCTTTTACTAGGGTTGATTGTAAGAGAGCCTCAGTTGGATTATGAGGGGTTTGAGAGATCCAGAAGTTGGTAAGTTCCAAGGAGGTATTAGACCTGCTCCTCGAAAACCAGCTTTCATATTCTGAATAGTAAATGATTGTAAATATATAGTTTTGAAGACTATAAAGAATTCAACCTTGATAATATAATTGATATAAACTTTGATAAATCCTTTAATTTGATAATTATATAAACATTTGAATATACCAAAACATCCAATATTAAATGATTGAATTAAATAATCTAAATATAATAATAATTTGAGGTATATAATATCATTTGATTTACAATATGATTGAAAAGATATTGATTCATAGCTTTTGTACTCATCTAATATTAGTATTCAATATTTGCTTTTTCTTTAACAAATAATATATTTATCGAAATACTTTAATCATTTTAACTTCATCTCATTATTTGTTCATCTATTGAAAGTAGGTTTAATAGCTCAATCCACAGAAAAATCGGTTTCGGTATATCAATTAAAAAGATAAACTTGTTCTTGAACTACCAGAAATAAAGATATAGTTTCACCCTCTTCATTGCTACATATAATTGCTATAGCCCACTCTCGATTGCCTGATTGTATTGCCTTGCTTCTGCCATTTCGTTCAATATTAGTTACTGTTAAAAGGAATAGAAGTTACCGGTACTAATCACGTGTCGTGATTAGTAATACGGTTACCTAAACAGGCTAGATTAGACGAACCATAAGCAGGCATATTGGTCCCCTCAGAGGATACCAAGAGGAGATTAATATGCCTACACGCGTAGTAATATAATCAATATAGAGGCCTCTTCCACCCAATCTTTTAATATATTATAATATATTATTTAAAAAGATAATTGATTTTATAATAGATTTGAAATTGAAGTTATATAAAGTAAAAGAATAATATAAAAAATTGATTGTTTTTCGAAAAGAGAAAAGTAAAGGCTTTTCCTTATATTTAACGTGGTTTATCAGGACCCTGTACATATCAGGACCCTGTACACTTTTACCTCAATTGCCCACATTCCATTGAAATAAAATTACAACAATACTATAAATTAGAATTAAATTACATACAATTCAAAGATCAACTAATGCTGGATCTAATTGATAAGTTTGTGTATTATGTGAAGCACTACCACATTTGCTACATCGTCGTATAGTAGCTTGCCTCCTTGCTGAAGAATCATCATTTGTAAATTCATCGTATTGTATCTGATCTTCTATATTCTCTTGTTCTAATATATCATGCTTATCTTCTACTGAAAGTACTCCTCCTTTTCGTATTAAAGCTTTTCTAGCTCTCCGGCGTTTACCAAGTGCTTCATTTGCTTTGCGGAGATTATGAACCTCAGCAACTAAAAGTGTATTCGTATAAGCTAAGAGCTTTGTACCTTTAGCTAAAGTTGCAATTGTTTTAAATATTGGAGTAGATGAGCTCCCTTGATGTTGAGCAATACGACTTTTCACTAAAGTGGATTGAGAAAGAGCTTCAATTGGATTGTAAAATATTTGAGATTATTATATATCAGGATCGGCTGATATTGATCTATTTGATGGAGTTCTTATTTGAATATCTAGCTTTGAAAGTACAATTTCCGGATTAAATGGGATTAGCCCAGCTTCGCGGAACCCAGCTTTACTATTTGATATAGATATTGCTTCGATATATGCAGCTTTGAAGACTTGAAAGAACTCGGTTTTGGTAATATAAGTGATATGCGCTTTGATAAAGTTCTCGATTTGTCGATTATATGAATACTTTAAAGAACCAAAACAACCGATATCGAATAGTTGAGTTAAATACGAAGAATGAGGTAGTAAACTAAGTAATATAATATCATGTTCCTTGCAGTATTCCTGAAATGCTGGCGATTTATGACTTTCATGCCCATCAAGCACTAACATTCGATATCTACCCACTTTCCTACTTTCAATATATTTGTTGAAGTGCTTAATCCATTCAAGACCTGTCTCATTATCTGTCTATCTATTGATAGTAGGTTTAATAAGCCAATCGTATAGTAAATCACCTTCGGTATACTAATTTGAAAGATGGTATTCGTCTTTTACTATCAAAAACGGAGGTATATTGTGACCTTCTCCATCAACACAAATAATCGCTATAGCCCATTCTCGATTACCTGATTGTATAGCTTTGCTTTTTCCACATCGATCAGCTTTAGTAACTACTATATATGGTGATATTTGTCCCATTATAAAGCCTGTCTCATCGAAGTTGTAGAAATCGCAATCCAGAATACTATATTTGGCCCGTATATTCGATACTAATCGAAACCATCTTTCAATAAGCTCTGAATCTTCGCAGAAAGCTCTTTGAAAATCATAAACGCAATTAAAATGTATCTTTGATTCTGTATATCGTTTCACAAAACGATAAGCCCAGAGCTTTCCAACTGTTGGTACGAGAAGGATACGGAAGACGTAGCACCCACGGATTACGTAGGTCCTGTATGTCTAATTGTATTCTGTCTAAAGAGCTAGCTACATATTGAAAGTAGTAAGTCTTATATAGACTTACTAAAAGAGCTAGTCTCTTTCGCGTTCGCTTAGTTCTTTATTACAGTAGTAATTGAATTGAAGTCATTCACTTCGTTCACACACCAACCTTCTTCGCACCCTGCGTTTCAAGTATGTAATTCGCTATATCTTCCACATCACTTATTCGAGGACTAAACCCTCTTTCATCCATATCCAATATATATTGAAGAAGCGATTTCTCCTCCAATTCTGTCATTTTATGATTTGCTGATCGACGTTCAGTAAGAGGCAGAATTCCATTCATTCTAGAGGTAAGGGTAGTATAAGGTATATTATAGAGTTTTGCAGCTTTCCGAATACTCAAATTTTGAGATATACGAATAGCCTCAATAGCTAAATTGATTCGAGCTTCTTTTGAAGTAGTTTGCATAATTAAATATTGATAAATCGCGTGTTGAAGTTGAAAGGTGATAATTGAGGTAAAAGTGTACAGGGTCCTGATAAACCACGTTAACTATTAGAGATTATATAATCAAGTATCTATGGAAACCTTATGCATACAGTCCGAAATCCCGACTTTCTCGCAATATCTACTCACAACATTAATCAGAATATTGAAGTCCGAAACAATTTCATAGGATCTTTTTCTATTGTTTTTGGACCGAGTTTTCTAGAGGGAAAGAGGGGAGGATAATAGATATTGAGATGGATAGTGTAATAGCGTAGTATTAGTGTTGGTATAAAGAAAGTATATGATAAAGTCAGGTAAAGTGAGAGAAGAACATAAGAATGATGGACGGTGCCTACACCTGTATCGTGCAGCCCAGTCAATTCGGAATCTTGACCCGGTAATTACAATTAATACCTGCCCTTCAGAATAGATCTGAATGATAATCTATGTAGCTCATTTACCTTATAAGTATACAGAATCATTGATTTAAAACTGGTTTTATCTATATGTAAGGATACTTGGTTCCCTGTTTGGAAGGATTTATGTATTTATATCCATTGGCCATTTGAAGTTTGTAGGGGTGATAATGTGCGGATCTGTACTGGGTTGTCTACTTGTATGTGGCTAGAACTTCGAGTATTGGAGACGGGTGATATCTTGAGGGCTGGTAAAGGGATTTGAGTTGTGGGGGATGGGGGATTTGGGTATAGAGTTGGAGGGTTAATGAATTTTGTATTTGTGGGGGAGTTCGATGGGAGTCTGAGGTATTGAGGTATTAAGGTATAGTAGAGCATGACTCCAGGGATTGGTAGGGAGTGAAGTCTCCGGGTATGATGTTTGTCATTTAGCATTTGGAATTGATTGAAGTGATTAGGGGATTGAGACTGGAGATTGGAGACGGTTGATGGATGGAGAGTTTAATGGTTGAAGAAGATGGATGGAATGGATAGAAAATAGAAAGCGTATGATGAGGAAGAAGTGTGAAGAACGTGAAATAACAATGGGAGGGGTTTTGTAAAGAGGGGCAAAATTGCTGGAAGGTTTAGCATCCGCTCCCATGGAACAGAATAAATGGGGCCTTAAGGTTTGCGAAATCAAGAAGATTTTGTGAAGAGACTGGCTCCAGGCGAAGGAACTGAAGATAGTAGATATCGAAATTGAAAGATGACAAGAGAAATTGAGAATCGTTTAAATTTCGGAGTATGTGGTGGTGAGGAATGGGGAGAGATGGAGATAGGTAGTGGAAAGCGAAGATTTTCTACTTGGAGAAGCCTTGAAGAAGAGAGTAGAATACAGCTGCACCTTATAGTAGTATACCAATATATGATTTCATCTAACTGTCGCATCATATATTGAATTCAAAAATGGTATTGAGTTGCATGTGTACCCTACTTTATCATCAGCTCAGGAAACAACTCCTGGACATAGTCATTTTGCGTCAACTCAGTAGAATGAACAATAAAGGAATTTGAAAAGATTGTCATGTCACTTGATAGGGAATTAATAAAATGCAAATATAATAAAAAGTCGATATCGTGAAGATCAATAGATCCGTAGTTGATGGGCTGTCAGATAGGGACTGCTATGGACCCAAATACAATGAACTAGGTCTTTCCTTCAAAGAATGGATTCAAAATGATCGTGGCGGTTATCTACACTGGTGAAATAGCCACTTGTTATTACTACTCGAGTATACTGAATAAATAACCACCTATTAGAACTCGAGTATACCGGATGCATACTGGGTAATTCTTCATTCTCATATCAATATCGTAAGGTACTGAAAGGTGGCAAACAATTAAAATGTAGCTCAAGGAAAATGAATGATGACAGTATCGTTGGTAGGAATTCCTTGAGTTATACGAGAAGAGTACTAGGTAATCAATTGCGTATGTACTTTACATTACCAGCTGAGGCTTAGGAACGCAACACAAATGACCAAATATGACAACAGATTACTAGTTTAAAATCCTTCATCTGATTTTAGGTACCAAATTTTTTTAATCCTTTATCATGATATTTAAACAACATCTCGCACTTTATAATCAAGCAATATCTATCAAGATCTCGAGTACCTTGCAGAAGAAGATTCATTCCCCATTATTTCCATCAGATTCACCATTCACGTCATTTCCCCACACTCACCCGCTGCAGCTTTTAGATTCCCCAGTCGATCCACTCAAAAGTTTAAAGCACCTGGAAACATGGTGGAGGAAAACCTTAACAACAACAACAACATCAACAACGTCACCAACACCAGATCTACATCACCAAATGCTACAAATGCTGCAAATGCAAATACAAACACATCTCCACGTCGCAAAACCTCAACTATACCTGAAGATGAACCTACAGCAACTTTAAATCGACGTCGTTCCAATCGTCCGTCTACAGATGGAATACCTTCATCAGGAAATCGCAGAAGAAGTTCGACTTTCTCGGAATATTCGCTGAACGAATTTAATAAGAGTTTAAGGGATTCGACGGATGATATCTTGTTTCCTAAACCTTGCGATATGAAGGACGAAAGTAATCATGATAATTCACCTTGGGATTCAGCTCCTTTGGCATTTGCTCTTCTGCCGGCAATTGGAGGACTTTTCTTTACAAATGGTAGTTCGGTTATAACAGATATTATGTTACTTGGGTTCGCAGCCATTTTGTTGAATTGGTCTGTGAGAGTACCTTGTAAGTTATCATTTCGAAAAACTCAGTCTGTGAGGATTTGCGGGTCAGAAATTTTGGAGAGAGGTTTCAATGAAGTGTTCACAGAATTCATGCTGATTATTCAGGGGATTGGTATCATTCAGCACAAAAAATCCGGAAAAGAGGAGAATATCATGAGGAAATAATTAGGGAGGAAGAAAATGGGGATGAAGGGGTAATGGATTCCACGGCCGAGAACCTTCAAGCTACTTCGGACCAGAACCCGAATCCGCAATCCAAGACAGAACGACGTCATTCTGCGCATGAGACTGCTACCAATGAACTTTTTATTCATGAGTTACTGGCTTTCATATCATGTTTCATATCACCAATAGTTGGAGCATATATACTACATTCAATACGATCACAATTAAGCCGACCGTCCGAAGGATTGGTCTCGAACTACAATTTGACAATTTTCTTACTAGCATCAGAATTGAGACCAATGGCACATCTAGTCAGGCTATTACGAGCAAGAACACTACATTTACAAAGAGTGGTGAATTCCAATCCGTACGATGATTCTATTGGGAAGACGTCCGAGCACATTCAAGAATTGGTTCAGAGATTGGAGAAATTAGAAACTCGGGCCTCGAATGTAGACATATCTGCCGGAAATGCACCAGAGCCGCTCTTGAATGAGAAACAATCGGCAATTCTGACAACAGAGGTTCGTCGTACAATGCAACCAGATTTAGATGCTCTCAATCGAGCTGTACGTCGTTATGAAAAACGTGCTACACTTCAGTCATTCCAAACGGAAAGCCGCCTATTAGACTTGGAAGCACGATTAAATGATGCTATTTCATTGGCAGCCGCAGCAGCGAATAATTCACAAAGGCGCAGTGCTCTCGGGATAGTTTTCGATTGGATAGCCTCTGCTATGACATTTCCATTACAAGCTTTCGGTACTATTGCGAGCCTTCCTTTCAAGACACTTCTCTCGGTGGTCAATTATATCCAATTTTTACTTGGTGGTCAGATACAAACTGAGAAACCTAAAAGGAATTCAAATGGTAGATATGCGCCTCACGCAAAAGTTAGTGATCGTGTACAAGGAAAACTAAGGAGATGAGATTTCAACAGTTGGAAAGTTGGCATTTCGTCATTGCAATGATAAAGGCAGAACCAATCAATGAAATGAATCATGCCACTTGCCTTAATTTTTTTTTAAACGGAATAACTAAAAAAGGGTTTTCCTTAAGCCTTTTGAAACATCTTTCGCCTCGTAGACTTTGTGATTGGTTTCCAAGGGTATGGGCGTTACACTGGCTGTGAGAAACGCATCATAGGGGATTTTTTATGAAAGGGACGTCACAGATAGTCTATTGTTATACGGGTGTAACGCATACAAATCCGACCTCATTGTAGCTTTTCGATTCAAACACCCTTGAGAAAGCATGGCGGGCGTCGCAAACATCTGGAGTTTGTTCATATATCCAGAAGCGCTTACTACAATGAGCAGATAATGCGAGTCAGCATGGCTAACATGTTTTGGAAAGTGCAGATATCGCAGCTTAAGAAGGCTCAATATTCCTCAGTTATGATACCTTACATTTCTCTTTTAACTTTCATTCCATATTTCGATACTTGAACCTTCTCAGCCTTACCATAACGAAAATGCCACTTAAGTCAGATATCTTAATCGATGCTTCAAAATTTGAGCCTCAAAATACACCAAAGGAAACAATCAAGGCCAATGAAGAGTTGAGTAATAAATTGAAAGATGGTCCAAAATGGTTTGAGGTTTGTCTCCAAGCTATGTTCCTCTAGCTCATGACTAATTTCTCAATTATAGATCGGTGCATCTGAATATCGCGAGATGAGAAATGCAGGGAAAACTCCTATGCCTAAGCCTAAACCTTTACCGGAAGCTCTGGACATAGATATTCCTTCTCGTGATAGTACTCGTATGATTCCTTGTCGTCTAGTATATCCATCTTGGCGCAAAACCACCAATGAAAGAAGGAAAACAAAAGGAATTGGATGCCTCATACATGGTGGAGGATGGGTTCTCGGGGATCAGCATTCTGCCGATACTTTACTCCAGTTCTATGCTGATGCAGGAGATCTGGCTGTTATATCGATTGGATATAGACTTGCCCCTGAATATCCTTTTCCATGCGGTCCAAGTGACTGTATTGATGTGGGAGAATATTTGGTTAACGATGGTGAAAGGGTGTTTGGTAGCTCGTTGAAATTTATCGGGGGAGAGGTATGTCATTTATTACTTTTATAAAGTTCTCTCACTGACACTATTCAATAGAGTGCCGGTGCACACTTATCCTTACTGGTCGCCTTTCATCTTCTCAGAAACCTACCCAACTTCAAGCTTTCCGGACTTGTTCTCAATTGCGGTATCTACGATTTAACAATGCTTCCTCACTGTCGAAATTTCGGTCGACCTGACCTCGTTCTCGACCATACCCTTATGCGTAAATTCGTCGACGCATTTCTCCCCGACATGAGCGACGAACAGAAAAAATCTCCCCTCATCTCCCCTTATTACGAAGATCTTGAGAAATTCAGAGGCAGATTACCAAGTGCTCTCTTTACATGTGGTACGGAAGATCCATTATTAGATGATTCGGTTACAATGGCTACGAAATGGATGATGACGGGTGGAGAGGCGGTTATTAAAATTTATACGGGGGCTCCGCATGCATTTATTTCGTTGGGGAATTTATCTAAGGAGGCTAGTGATGCGAGGGAGGATACGAGGGTTTATATTAGGGATTGTATGGGGAAGTTGTGAGTGCGGTGGTATGGTGGTGTTGAGGTTGGGTGGGTGGGGTGGCGTTGGAGGGGGAGAGGGAGAGTGAGAGTGGAGAAAAGAGATTCTTTTGTTAGAGGTGGGATGGGATGGGATGGATGTTCAACACTAGGTGTGCTTTTTGGGTTTTTGCTAGATGGGTAATGGAAGGGAAAGGATTGGAAAGGGAAGGGAAGAGAAGAGGAATGAAGTTTCTTTTGTAATAGTTGATGAGGAAAAAGGTCGAGGTAAGATCTTATAATGGATGGCTTGATTTTGATTTTAAGTTTAATTTTGATTTTGGTCTTGTTTTCGGTTACATTTTGATTCTAGCTTTCGGGTTTTGGGTTCACTTAATAAGAGGACTGAAAAGGGATAGAGAAAGAGATTTTTTTTTTCTTTTTTAATAATAAATGAATAATCTAATCATAGATTAAATAATTTAAAGTTTTTGAAATTTGAACTTTGAACTTTGAACTTGGTAATTGGTAATTGGTAATCTGATCATATAATTAATAAGGAAAAAAAAAAAAAAAAAAAAAGAGTTTTCAATAATAATGATGATGATACAGAGAAAGGGGTTTGTTCTTGGTTTGGTTTTGGTTGATATAATTTGGCTTTGATTGATGTATTTATAAGTAGATATTTTGATATTTTATTCTATTTGAAAGGGGAGATTCTTAGAGAACTAGACTTAGTCTGGGAAGAAGAAAGTATAGAGAAGAAAGAGAAGAGTCTTGTATGGTGTGTATTTGTCACGATTCACCATTAGGATTGATGGTGTTACGATGGTAGCAAACTGATTAATTAGGAGAGCTTAGGCCTTGTGCAAACACGATCAGATTTCATCGAATTAGTATGTGATCTTGATCACCTTAAGATCGTATGCACACACACCATCAGAAATCACGTAATAAGGAGCCCTAGGAGCCCTCAAAGCTCCTAAAGCTCTAGGAGCCCTAAGGAGCCAAAAAGCTTCTAGGGGCTCCCTTTATCGATCATTATATAATCAGAGTAGTTTCATAGTTTAGGAGCTAGGTGCTCAACTTAGTTATCAATTAGTTTATCTACATTCTACTTGATCTAGTAACGAATTCACTTTCAAGTGAATGCCAGTGATAAAGCCTTAACCCATAACTACCAACCGACGAACCTTAGGCAGCCGCTGCCTCCAGTATAGTATCATTATAGTATTTTTCTTTTGAGATCTAGATAGATAGTATATAGTTCCTTATGATTATACTTTATATATGTTACGTGACGGTTGTTATCCCACTAGTGGCTCACGTGCACTAGCCCTGTATATAAAGACCTTCTTACTTAGAATCTTCTTAGTTCTTTAGTTTTAGATTCTAAGTAATTGAATTGACTCCGTTTACGACTTTTCCGTCACAATATATTACTTATTTTTATTTTTATTTTTATTAGTATAATTTTAAGTTATTACTTAATTATTCATTAGATTAATATTTTTATTTCTTTTTTATTTCTTTTATATATTTATATATTTATATGTTTATATATTTATATATTTAAAATTCTATAAATTAAAGAATATACTTATATTAGGGATTTAGATAGGTTTTTGAATTAATTTAAGATATTAAAATTATTTTTACAAAGTATTTTATTATTATTATCGGGAAATTATTTATTTAAAGAAGTTGAAATGGGGTTTTCTACTGTGAGATGACTAAATTATTAAATTAAAATTGAAGATAAAAATGAAAATGAAGTTAGAATTTATACCAATATTGATTTTGATATTAATAATGATTTTTAAAGTGATATTAATATTGATATTAATGTTTAAAGTTAACATCATTAAGGACATATGTATTTTCAACAATAGTGAGTATTAAACTCAAATATAAGATCTTAAGAGTAAGAAATCTACAAGTGTATCTTTTACAACGTTTTTGAATAATAAAGGGATGATGTGTTACGACGGGCTACACAACTACCAAGGCACGTGATCACAAATGATCAGTAGTGATCATTAAGGATCACGGTATAGGTGATCACTGATGATCATTAAGGATCACTAAGGATCACGATATAGGTGATCACTAATGATCATAAAGGATCATCAATAATCATAGAAGCATGAAGGACTATATAATCAAGATGGATTTCCTTTGTATAGAGTTTCGTGCTCAAGATCAATCATTTAGTATACTCTACTATTAGTTACGAATTGCATCATTGTCATTACTTAAGTCCCTGCTTGACGCCTAGTTATAAACCACCTCGAGAGCCTAGAGCACTTCCACGTGATCTAGACGGCAAACCTCGTAACAGTCACTTCTATTAGTGTACGTACCCATTTTTGCGATAATGTAGAGAATGCTTATCACGAATTTTTACCACTGCTCTTCTCTGGCCCTCGAAAGTTTACACCACCAGCTATTTTATTTTTAGTACATCAAATAATAAAAGATAGATTGAATATCAATCATCTTCCCGTTTCCATTCCATCCTGTTTTATTTTCAGCCCCGACTTTTCTCTTGGATTTCCTTACTCTCCACCGCCTTCTCGCCAAATTTCTTATTGAGGATTTTAGCGTCTCGGTTCTCCTTTCTCGCTATTCCTAATGGATTGCTCAATAGAATTTTTCTCAGAGATTTTCATCCAACCATATTTCGGTGCGTGCTTTCTCAATAGAAATAAATGGGTGTTGTGAATATCTCGCTGAGAAGTACCTCAGTGTTTTGACTTGGTTTTTTTTTCTTATTGAGGGTTTGGGATTGAGGGATGAGACTGTGGATTATGGCTTGCTTGTGAGTTTATGCGACAATTCTACGGTGCAGTGATGGTTTCGTGTACTATTTTTGATTTTTTTTTTGCTATTGAGGTGTCGCTAGTAAGGTTGTCGATTTTTTCAATAGAAATTACATATCTCTATTGAAGAGACGATGGTTACGAGATTCATAAGTATCTTCAAAGTAACGAAAACATTGCCTTTTCTTCAAAGTATTTCCTGAGTATTGATTGAACAACGATATTACCATCACAAACAAACTTCGTGGAAATCTCCCCATGCCTTCGTACCTCATCCATCGAAATAGAACGACTCTTTGTTGAATCAGCTCCTCTCGTTTCTACTTAACTTCATATCATTTCACCTCATTTATTTCCGCGTACCCATGTTCGGTCTTACTTTTCCATATTGAGACTATTTCCATTCTGTGATAGGAGATACTCAGTTATCTACTTCTCATTTCCTGATATTTCCTCTACTTTATCCAGTACTTTCAAAAGATATTGCTCATTAACATCATGTCTCTTGAGTCTAACATCATATCCACGGGGCCCGATCCTCCAGGAATAAACTATCCCGTCTCCGCCAATGCAATCACTCTCCCGATTTTCTCTATAATCTTCATATTCCTCCTCCTTGTCCCCTTCCGTCTCCTCTACCGCGTCAACAATATCGCCGCCTGCTCGCTCGTTATAATAAACATCATATCTCTCCTCTTCGTCGCCACAAACACCCTAATATGGCCCACGGATTCTCTCTCCAACCGCTGGTCCGGCCATATCCTCTGCGATATTCAAGTTCTCATCCGTCAAGCTCTCTACACAGCAATGACCTCAACAACATGTTGCATCAGCATGTTTCTAGCCCGAGCTGTCGATACGGATAATGCATGTATGCATGAATCGACAGCGATGAAGAGAAGAAGAATGATGAAAGACTGTGCATTTTGTTTTACAATTCCTGTACTGCAAATAGCGCTTCATTACACGATTCAGTTGAATAGGTATACGGTTATGACCATTTATGGGTGTGTGGATGCGACGGATTTGAGTTGGATGAGTATTGTTATTTGTCATATTTGGCCGCCGATTTTTGCTTGTTTTAATTTCTACTTTTCGGGTGTGTATTTTCATTTCCATACTCCTTCTTGCTTTCCATGGAAGTACCTTCAATGGTGAGTAAAAAGGAAAATAAGCTAACAAAAACAAAAGTCCTAGTAATCTACCGGCTCCGTCGTCACCGTTCAAACTTCGCCAGTACATTGTCCTCCTCAAGCTCAGGCCTCAGTCCTCGACGCTTCTTCAAACTCTTCTCTATGTCCCTCATAGTTTTAGGTGTTTATTTTCCCGTTGTACTATGGTACTTCTATCTCAACGTCAGCTGGCCCCTTCATGCATATTCCTGGTCTCAAGTCCACGATCCACTGTTTTGGCATTTCATCGTCTTTTGGCGCCTCGAGGATGCACCAGCGGGTATGGAATATGATGCGTGGAATTGGGTGTCACTTGCCTTTATGATTGTTGTGTTTTGGGGGTGTAATAGTGAGGGAGTAGAGGTCTATAGGAGAGGCGCGATTAGATTGGGATTTGCGAGATTTTGGCCCAGATTGAGGATGACGTTGCATGAGAGGAGGATTGAGAAGATGAAGAGGGATAGTAGGAGCGGATTGAGTGGTACGGGTACAGTAGGGAGTTGGAAGGGAAAATTCGATTTGATCAGTAGGACGGTGAATTATTTTGAGGGTCAGGAGGAGAAGAGTAGAAAACATAGTGTGGGGACGACTACTACTTTGGGTGATGATATGTAAGTCTGCTTCTTCTTTTTTATTTTCTTCAAGTTATGTGTATCTTATTTCGAGTATTGATTCTAACATCACCTAAGAACTCACATTTCAACCCATAAACCATCCCACCAAACCCAAATCTCTACCTCCACCACCACAAACTCAACCTACAACTCCCGCAACGCAACTATCTACAATTCCAATTCCACCACGTACATAACATCTAAAGCCACAGACACGCCAAGTATCATCGATCACGACATTTCATTCTCCTCATCAGCTCCTACATGTGCGGGTCAAGATGTCATTTCACCTTTTCCACGAACTCTTTCCCCGAATAATGTATACTCGCATGTTCCTGAAGCGACTGGTGCTAGGAAAATTACGGCGCCTCCACCTACTTCTAGGGGTATGTGGGGAATGTTTAGAACGAATTTGAATCCACTTCCTCTACATGCCTTTCCTACTCATGGAAAGGCATCTGAGGGTTTATGTTCTTTACCACATCATTCGAAATCGAATTCTGCCTCACACTCTAAGAAGCAACAGCCTCTCAGTACCGCACATGAGAAAAGTACCACACATGAGAAAAGTACCACACCTGATGAGCACTTTGCAAATACGAACAATGCAGCAACATTAACAACGCAAATCTGGTCCTCGGTAAATAATACTCATGATGTAACTTTACATAAAGGTTCAAATGCAGGTTTAATTGTATCTGGAAATCAAAATGCGGCTATAAATAATCACGGAAAAGAGGAGAAATATGATCAAGACGACATTCTTGCATCTCCAAAACCAGGAACTAGAGCTTATAGAGAAAGAGAAAGGAAGAGGTTGGAGAAGGAGAGTATGGATGATGGATATGGAGCAGCGAAGGAGAATGGAGAGGGTTTGAATGTGAAAAGAACATTTGAGCTTGTGGAGGAAAGAGATATTGGTCGTGCGAGTAGTTCTTAATTTTGCTTGACTTTGGTGGAAGAAATGGAGATGAGGTGGAATATTTTCTGGTGGTTTTGCTCACTTGCTTTCTTACTTTCTTTCTTCGCCTCTTTGAGCTTAAATATTATTTCATTAGCGTGCATGGTATAACATAGCATAGCATGTTTTATGGTTGGCAGGTTTTATCTTCGAGAAGAAGGGGATTGGATGACGATGGAGGTAATTTGAAGTTCTCTTACTAAGTTTGGTTGAAATGAGATATTCGCAGGCATTAATATCGATTAATTTTCTTTGCTTTTCTGATGCTCGCTTGGTTTCGTGATGAGCTTATGTGTATTCTGAACTTCTGTTCTACCATGAATACATATCCCTATCGGTAACCTCAGTGCCACGAATACTTATTTCCTACTAAGTATACAGAATAGCTTCTCTTCCGCTAAAATTCCTGATTGTGGATCGCATGATCCAAATTCTTCATTATATGAGAGCAAAATATTAGGAGCCAGCTGCCAGGCTGAAGCACCCTTCCCATTCCCATAAATAGACTAATAACGTCTCCAATTCTCCCATTGCACCTTCTAGAGAATATAGCTTCGGCATAGACAATAGTTGTCTCTTGATCAAACTTTCTCCTTTGTTTGCCTGCCAGTGCCAGGGTCCTAATCGCATACTCAGGTCGAAATTTCGATAAGTCTTGACCGTGATGCTCAAATTCTGGAACAGCTTCAAAGCTGAATACATAATCGAGACTTTTTAGTATCTAGCTCAGATCCTGGATATTTGGACACTGAGGTTTCCAATGCATGAACAATTTCACTCATTTGTAAACATGTAGAGACTTCTCGCGCAATCACCTGTTGAATATGATGCTTTAACTTTGAATTAAAATGCTGTTAGCTTTGAGAGGTGTTTAAGTCGCATCCTAGTGGTGGAATACTCGGACATTTCGCTCATGAATCTAGCAAAACACTGAAGATGATACAGTCATGTTGAAAGTGCTTATCTTGAGTTTAAGAACTTTAAGTCTACTGTGGAATTGCAGAACCACGGCGCGATGCAGTTTCTAGCCGGCTTGAAGAAGCTATAGCCAGTGAGCTCCAAATTAAGTTTTCATCCATGTACAAGGACCAAGGTAGATTCTTTCAATCTACTTTCCAATGCCTCTTGACAAATCTTTCTGTCCGGGATAAGTGCTAACTCCAAGAGAAAACTGTTAAAGTCTGTTAGTTCGGATTTTCGGTATGGCTTTTCAATCTCTATCCAAAATAGAAAATGGTCCTCCGGCCAAAAGGTAGGATTATTCACCCATTATTCCCGTGCGGATCTGTAAATAGCAGCTCTGAGCTCCCGTAGTACTGGTACAGAGTTCACGCGATTTTGAAGTCATAAAAGGTCTATATATGAAGAGTTTAAAGACGCATAAGTGTTACGCCGAGTAACAGGAAACCCTCACATGAAATCAATATCACGTGACTGGCTCAGTAAGGATCAGTGAGCTCAGTACTGAGCCGCATTGATCCTACTGAGTAATCATTGGTACGAAGGTCTATATAATCTAGATGGATTTCCTTTGTATAGAGTTTCGTGCTCAAGATCAATCATTTAGTATATTCTACTATTAGTCACGAATTGCATATCATTATTGTTATTACTTAAGTCCCTGCTTGACGCCTAGTTATAAACCACCTCGAGAGCCTAAAGCGCTTCCATGTGATCTAGACGGCAAACCTCATAACAAATCCGAAGATTAATGTTTTATTAATGTTTTTGTTTTATTCTCCTATGATTTTATATAAGGTTAAATAATAATTATATATAATCGAGGACAACTAAACATAGAAAATTTATTTAATTTTTATTTACTGTAAGAATCAGGGAGACATGATAGCGAACTCAGGTAATGTCAGCTTAAAGGGACCTTTTTAATCTTATTATCCGGCAGGAACTATGGGATTTCGTTTATGGAATTGGATTCATTCTATCTATATGGTTCTCACATTAGGGGATTTCAGCATTATGATATGAACATGCCGAGGCTAAACGAGAAAGATGTACATATATTAGGCATTGATCCCTCACTGCACAGTCCATCCCAACACAGGAACCCAAGTGTGTCGATCTCTAGCCGCCTGAAGAGCCTGTCGCTCAGTCATTCCAATTCATAAGATATAAGCCCTGCTTTCCTCTTCTGCCGAGCCCTCTCAATATCTATCGAACCGAAAAATTCAGTAATTCGCAAGCCTTACAACCCTCCAATAGATGATCTTTCAACTACCCAAAATCGAGTTTTCTTTCCATATCTTAAATCGACTGCTATACATCTGTCCATAAATAGCCTGTTTACTTCTTCAAAGGTCAATGGCAAAAAACAAACGTTTGGAGACTGTTGAGATATATCATTGTAGCTAAGTGTATACACCTCTGTAACGCAGAAAAGCATACCCCCCTGGTGGGGACCCGCAGAGCACATCCTTCTTTACCAGAACGAAATTCTCCAGACCCCGCCAATCGCCATAATAGATAAAGTGATACTTTTCCTAGTATCAACCGAACGAAATTCTTTCGAGCTATTGTTGCCTAAATAGCTATCCAGTTATTCTACACGAGGTCCCTTGCATCCCATAAATTAAAAAACAAATAAATCAATTCCATTCAATCACACAAACCTCTTTAAATTGACACTGTACTTCTCCTCGTGTTCTTCAAATACCTTCTATAACTTGGCGACGATACTAACTCGCCCACGTTGGTAAAAACTTTCGATAAAGGAGACAGGTCTGCTAAGCCAGTTGCCTCTTTTTGAAATTCCATCGTATTTTCGGAGAGATTTGCCGAAACCTGTTCTTCATGCCTTTGTATCTGGGTCTGAGTCTGAGATTGGCCTGGAAGCCCTAGATGTCTTTTGAAATCTTCGTCATGCTTGTCTGGCTTCATGCCCAAATTTTTCCACCGCGTGATTGTCATGACTGTGATGTTGTCAGACTTTTCGACGTTGATTTGGAATTCCATCCAGCATCGTGTGCATCGCCATAGTCCAGAATCGCCCTCAATTTGAATAGTTTCCCCAGCGCTTAGTCCTGTTCTCTCGTCTTTCCATCTATTCTTGATATGAGCTCCTTCTTCGTTGCCCAACCAATCCCAATTCTGGCAAATATCAAAGCATACCCGGTTTCGGAAAGAAGGTAACTTGGGGTCCACAATGGCGATCCTTTGCACACGTTGAATCATGAAGCCGTAGGCTATGGTGTAATCTGCCCGGGGTTGTTGTCATTCAAGTGCAAATGTATATTCATGATTTGAGGTAATATCCGACATGATGTTAAGCAAGCTGGTAGATTCTTGTCCTAAATTGTATCGTTTCATGGCCATTTCCCAAATAGCGGTATTGAAGTCCCATCCAAGGTATGCGTTGCTTCGATATTCGGGCTCTTCCTCCAACTCCTCCTCCTTCAACTCCCGCAGGAATTCCTCCAGCACGTCTTCCTCCGGCAGTTCTTCCTCCGGCAGTTCTCCCTCCGAGTGTTTGCTACGCCTCCTCCTATTGTACTTGTTCATTAAGCGATGAGGATTGTTAATAATGTCTTTGTAAAGATCATCCTAGGTTTCAAACATAAATCTATCGAACTCTTTCATATTTGATCTGTCAGAAGGTTCAACACTTCTATAGCCGATTTGTAACGATAATGCATTATCCATACAGTGAAGTTTGATGCAAGCTTTACAAGCAATATTATTTGGCAAATCATTAGCCATAGGCTTCAAGAAGCGTATCATTTCATTGGACCGGTTGGTCAGTAGCCTCAAATATCTATCTTTCATTTTCCCTCGGATATTTTTGGAACAAATCCAAGCAGCAGCCGCTGATGAAATTGGTAGTTGGTCTAAGATTTGGATCCAGACTTCTGCTGGCAACTTCTCTATCATGGAAATATCAAGAGCGCTTTCAAGACTGGACGATACGCTTTGCCGACGATGACATCCGTTTAATGTTGGTTTCCTGCGTAGGGGAAGTTTCTTAACCCCCGAAAACATAGTAGTGACATGGCTAGACATGATTTTGAAATGACTGATAAAAAAATCCGATTGGGATTAATGTGGATCGATATCAGGAAGAATATGATGAAATATATTGTGATTTAGAAGTGAATGAATCAGAATTGCTGTGTTTTACATTTGAAAATAGATGGAAAAAGATAATGAAGTGAAGGATGTCTTTATATTTCAAGGTTGAAAAGATCATAAACCATAGTTTGAGCACAGATTGCTTTCAGATTTTAACGTGACGTTTTTACTACTGGTAGTCTCACACCATGGAAAATAGTCTCCCACACTTGCCTCAACTGGACAGACTAGCCTATTCAATGACTCTGGATAGCTTCATACACTTTGGACTATGGCATATCTAAGATAGATCAAACGCTTGTATATATTCGTTCTGGGTATCACTTTGTAGATCTCGAGGTGACTAGAGAGGTAAGAAAGTATGTACCAAAGCTACAGATAGTAAAAGCACCTTTTGGTACACATACTCTTGCCTGATTAACCCAGAAACTTCTAGGCTAATACATAATTTGTTGAATTCCTTCTTGTACTCAAACACCAATGAATTAGCGGTACACGGGCATAAGAGGACGATAGAGCCTTGATTTGCAGATTGTGAAGGGGGTTAGCGGGGTATTAATGGGAGGTTAATTAGTGAGGGAAGTAGTTTTTCACCGCAGATCAATGCCACTCAATCATAGCCGAGGAATAACCGAAAACCCTGTCAAAATTGGGGTGCATTAGTGCGAAATTGCGAAGTGCTTCCTCTCTCAAAGTCTCCGATGTCCGATTGATGCATTTAGGACCACATAATATCTATCTTCTTATTATTACTCCATACAATTATCAGAATTAAAATGTTACGTTTGTGTACTTGGTAAGATGACGAATTTGGGCACATTTAAATCTCTGGTTAATGAAGAAGTCGTCATAAATCGCCTTCTACCATATATTTCCCCGCCCAGCAAGCACGCTGTGTCTGCAAATATGATGACCATTACATCCTCGCCATTGCGTCAAAGCCTAGCTGGTAGGCTATACAGTAGGTCTTCAATGCTGCGAAGACGATTTGTCTCAACTTCGATTCTCTCTTCCCAGGTTGGAACAGTTCCCCCGCGTTCTTTCAGCAAGTCAACTTTGTTGTTATGTTCTCTCGCATCTGCAGCTACATCACTGTCTCTTGGATATGTTTACATATCATATCAAAAAAACCCCGAGACAAATCTCTTTGGCTCTCGTATAAAGTATGCAGAGCCAGCTGTCATGCTTCAGGTAAGCTTTCGGGGAAGGATCGGTTTCACGTGATCATCACTAAAACTGAGGTGTCAAAACAGGCAATTCAGGAAATCGCCAATGAGCTAGGAGACGAATCAATTAGTTATGATGAAGATGAGCTATTGCGACATTCTTATTCAGAATGGTCAACTTCGAACTCAGAAAATAGACCTGTAGCGGTTGTGTATCCGAAAGACACTGATGATGTTGTCAAAATCGCAAAAATTTGCTCCAACTATAAAGTGCCGATGAGTAAGTTCTCGTGCTCGATCATGTGGGTTGAAAACTCACATGTTTTAAATAGTACCATTTGGAGCGGGCTCAAGTGTGGAGGGTCACATTTCCGCTCCATGTTCAGGGTTGAGTATCGACTTTGCGAACATGGATAAAGTTGTTGAATTTCATCCGGACGAGTAAGTGTTGACCTTATCCTAGTGTAGGTCTCCGGAGCAATACTAACCCTCAGGAAGTATGGATATTGTTGTACAGCCAGCCGTGAATTGGGTGAACCTTAATGAGCAGATCAAGGACACTGGACTTTTCCTCCCATTGGACCCCAGCCCAACTGTATGTTACTCAAAAGAATGCATGTACTAACTTGTTGAAATCATATTCTAAATTTAATACTAGGCTCATATTGGAGGAATGGTCTCAACGAATTGCAGGTATTCTCACTCACCATTCACAAACTTTTAGTATTCTCACATATTTTAGTGGTACGAATGCCATGAGATATGGCACAATGAAAGACTGGGTCATCAATCTGACCGTGGTTCTGGCTGATGGTACAGTGATAAAAACTCGAAGAAGGCCACGGTATTTCTCCAATCCTGAAAATTATATGCGAACACCATTTGTTCTAATCAAATTGAAGAAAAACCTCCGCAGGATACAATTTGACTTCTCTTTTCGTCGGAGCTGAAGGGACTTTAGGCCTCATTACTGAAATCACTCTTAAGCTGGCTGTAGTTCCTGATGCAACTAGTGTCGCAGTTGTCACATTCCCTTCTGTTGCTGATGCTGCAACAGCCGCGTCGAAGATCATCAGAACAGGAATTCCTTTAGCAGCCATGGAAATTATGGATGAAGTACAGATGCAAGTCATCAATAAGAACGGCGGTACTAGTGGAAAAATGTGGGAAGAACAACCGACATTATTCTTCAAGTAATTTCCCTGATTAAATTTCTCTTTGATTTCGTACTGATGAAGAAAGATTTTCTGGAACTGAGCAAGCCATCAAAGACCATATACACCGTGTTCAGAGTATAGCAAAGCAGTGGAAAGGCGGGGAGTTTCAATTTGCGCGAACAGAGAAAGATAAAATTGTTCTGTGGTCAGCAAGGAAAGAAGCTCTATGGGCCATGCTAGCACAACGCCGACCTGGTACCGAGATTTGGAGTACAGATTGTGCTGTACCAACGTCGAGGTTAGCAGAAATTATAGGTAAGTTTTAAGTCTGCCGAGGCTTAATTGCCACACTAATAGTTCTATAGATATTTCGAAACAAGAATCTGGAAAACTGGGACTTTTTTCTACTGTTCTCGGCCATGTAGGGGATGGGAATTTTCACCAAGCTGTAATGTATAACCCGAAGGATCCGGAAGAGACAGCTGCTGTCAAAAAATGCGTTTATGATATGCTCGACAGGGCTTTAGAAATGGAAGGAACAAGCTCTGTTTGTATTTTCCGATCTTTTTAAGGACGATCAATCGCTGATTTACCTTAGGGTGAGCATGGCATAGGACTAGGAAAGAAGGTGAGTAATTATGATTGAGATTTGAGGGAATCAAAATCTCAGTTGCCGGCCATAGAATATCCCAATTTTCTACCGTCGTTCGACTGCTAAATCTTTTAGGATTGCTTGATGAAGGAGCTCGGTCTCGATACAATTACTGTCATGAAAAAGCTCAAGCATTCTCTGGATCCTAAGTATTTTTCCAGACTATTTTTAGCAAAAAGGAAGCTAACTGCAACAAAACAGTTGGTTATTAAATCCAGGAAAGATATTTGATGAACCATGAGTCCCACAAAATGAAGGGCGCAATCGGAATGACTCCACGCAGACCGGAAACACCCGTTTCACATACACAATGTTTGTTCATGGCTCACAACAACGACGATATTATCATAAAAATACTCAAAGCATCACATTACCTCCGTTTCCCTTACAGCTCCTTACACATTTACTTCTTCAATCTATTGCCGTAACAACCCTCCACATAAACACTCACTTTCCCCCACCAGCCCCACATCAATTTGCGGAGCGGATACCTCATTTCTGCTGGTCTGTCCCCCAGCTCAACCCCTCTTTACCCACCTTCCCCAATGAATTTTAATAAAGGGTATATATTATTAAACAGAACACACAATTTGAATATCAATAGGACCGCTGGCGCAACGGTAGCGCGTTCGACTCCAGATCGAAAGGTTATCCGTTCAAATCGGGTGTGGTTCAATACCTCCATTGATTAATTCTTGTTTTTGTTTTGTTCATCACCTCGACGTAATACAACAATCTCCATGATGCTTACTTACTCTTTCCGTGTGCAAAAAATGAAATGAAGGGTTCATTCATGCTTTGGTGGTGGTATTCGCTACTTGTTACAGAATCTTATTGAGCATCATTTTGGGACTCGTGGAATATTGACATGTGGGGTTTGATTGATTACATTTTTGCAGACTCCAGATCTTCTTCCTTGAGGAAGATTTTAAACATGATAGATATATTTCCTCTAATTATGTACACTACACTTTTTGTTCTAACACATTCTGAAGCGAAAATTCAATTCAGGGGCAGTGACGCAATCGGGAACAGCATTCGGTAGCAAGATGTGTGAAGATAAATAAAGATGGTGGAAAAGATATTATCCGGTGACATCAAGCCGATATTCATTACCGGACGTGAGGACAAGAGTTATCGACAAATTGGAATTCGAAGATGTGTACATATACTTCATCTCCCATCATTACATAGTCTCTCTTCTACGTAAACATTACTCTGTTTTGTTGTCGAAAATTTATCGATTATTTGCCCCTTCATCGGACTCAAATATAGAGCCGACGCTTAACTCTCCGGCTTCAAAACAATCACCGGCCTCTCTTCGTAAACAGCGACCAAATTCATATATAAATCCTATTCCTATCACTCAATTCCTTCTCAATCCCCTCAATTCCCCTTGATAATTCTCTAATCAGTAAATATGTCTCTCACCCGCCGTATCCTCACCACAAGCCATCTCCCAGGCCTTCGCATAACGTCATCGGTACGCTGCCAGTGGGGTCAAAAATCACGAGACATTCGACACTTTCAAAGTTATCAGCGACTTTTCGAAGCACCCCAAAACGCATATAGAGATGACAAAAGTGATAGGAAAGTACCGAAGATTGTGAGGGGTACGAGTAAGGTTTTTAAGAGTGCTGATGAGGCGGTTGCGGATATTAAGAGTGGATCGACGATTTTGAGTGCCGGGTTTGGCTTGTGTGGTACTGCTGGTATGTTTTTCATGTTGTGGTTTTGAGTGATGGGCACTGGGATGGAGAATGGGATAATGATGCTAATGAGATTTTAGAAACGATTATTGAGGCATTAGAGAGGAGAGGAGTAGAAAATCTTCATTCTTTAACAGCGGTTTCGAATAATGCTGGAGCATCTATACCGGGAGGTTTAGCTGCATTGACGCAATCTGGACAGGTGAATCGATTAATTCTGAGTTTTATTGGAAGTAATAAAGCTCTAGAGAAGAAATATCTAGAGGGAAAAATCGCTATTGAATTATGTCCGCAAGGAACTATCGCTGAGAGATTAAGGGCTGGTGGGGCTGGAATTCCAGCTTTTTATACTCCTACTGGTGTTAGTAAGTAGTAAACCTGTGATTTATTTTTTTGGCTCTGGTAGAATGTGTATTGATGGGTTATAAGGTACTTTACTACAGACAGGTGGTATTCCCACTAGATTGGGTCCCCCAGCCGACGGATCAAAAGAAAACACTGTTTTAGAAAAAGGACAAGTTCGAGAAACTAGAGAATTCGACGGCAAGACTTATTCCATGGAAAAAGCCATCAAAGGAGATGTTGCAATTCTACGAGCATGGAAAGTCGACGAAGCTGGAAATTGTCAATTCAGGTACGTTGACGTCGTCCCACGCGAAATTTGACGGGCAGATAGGTATTAATAGCTAGCAGATTTACCACTAGAACATTCGGACCCATCATGGCTAAAGCTGCAAAAGTGGCTATTGTTGAGGCTGAAAATATTGTTCCGGTCGGCTCGATTGATCCAGCTGATGTCCATCTCCCAGGGATTTATATTGATCGTATTGTTCCGGCGACTGTGGCTAAGAAATTAGAATTGAAGAAAACTCGTGCACCTGATGGTCAGAAGGGAGATGCGTCAAGTCAATCGGATGCAAATGTTAGGAGAGATAGAATTGCCAGGAGAACGGCGAAGGAATTGAAGAATGGTTATTATGTCAATCTTGGTGTTGGTAAGTTTCATCTATATAGGACTTTTGGTGAGGTGAATATTGAGAGATTTACGAATAACAGGTCTACCAACTCTCGCGCCTTCATTCTTGTCTCCTGAGACTAAGGTTTGGATTCAATCTGAGAATGGAATCTTGGGTATGGGTGCATACCCCACTGAAGAAGAAGTTGATCCGTAAGTCTTTCATCATCATCATCATTCATTAGACGATTCTGGCAAACTAACACTCGCAAGCGATATCATCAACGCCGGCAAAGAAACCGTAACTCTCATTCCAGGAGCCTCCACCTTCGACAGCGCCGAATCCTTCGCCATGATCCGCGGTGGTCACATCGACGTATCTGTCCTCGGAGCATTACAAGTAGGCGCCAATGGCGATCTAGCCAATTACATGATCCCCGGAAAAGTAAGTCTTCATCTCTTCTTTCCTTCTTCCCAACTTGATATATTCTCAAGCAAAAACTCACATGATGAAATAATAGGTCTTTAAAGGAATGGGCGGAGCAATGGATCTCGTTTCCAATCCTGACGAAACGAAAATCGTCGTGGCTACGGAACATGTTGCTAAAGATGGAAGTTCAAAGATTGTTCAGGATTGTAGTTTACCGTTGACGGGGGCGAAGGTTGTTAGTACTATTATTACTGATTTGGTATGTTTTATTTCCCCTTTTCTTTTCTCCTACACATTCTTATATCCTCACACAATTGGAGATGTATAATAGATGAATTATGATTCGTGCTAATGTATAAATTTAGTGTGTATTTGAAGTCGATAGAGTGAATGGTGGTCTTACGTTAACTGAATTGGCGCCGGGTGTGGAGATTGAGGAGGTTAGACAGAAAACTGATGCTAAGTTTGAGGTTGCGGCGGATGTGAAGATTATGGAGTAATTAGGATGTAAATATTATGGATGTAAAATGATTGTATATTTAAATAGCAAAAATAAATTTTGTAAGAAAGGTTGAGCTCGTCCTGATCATCGGACAAGTTTTTTCCAACGTGGAAAAAGAGGCTCGTTTTGAGAGGTTATATTAAAACCGTTTTAACTTTTCTTTCATCATGGGCTTCATATGGATGGGGAGTCTATCAATCGAGCTCACTCCGAGAAATCTACAGATGATCTCATTGTTTAACAGAGGCCCGGTACCAACACAAGATCTAAATTGTCCGCTTATTAAAGAATATCGCAAACTTCAAGCCCATACAACAACGCCCATTAACACTAAAACATATCCTTTAACACTGCCCCCCCCCCCCCCCCCCCAACTTCTCTCACCCAAACCAACCTCCTGGTTCCCCCAACGTCACACAAATCGTCGACAACTCCTAATTAGCCATCACAGAAGACATGAACCAAACTATAAATCAACCAATTCAAAAACCTCTTCCCAATCACTGGTACCCGATCCTGACCCCAAGCATTCTGAATGCTTTTCATGTAAAAATCATCGACTCTGCATCTTATCAGCCCGGTCCGGTCAATATCCGTACCATATTCATCTCTCTCTCTCAGGCCTAAAATATGTATATACCTCTCTTTCTGAGCCCATATTGGGCTCAGCGTCCCAGGAGCTCGAGCAGGAAGATATTATCAGAAACCAACATTCTCGCTCTCGCTCGTTTCTTCAGCGCGGGAATAAAGTTCCCCAGAATCTTGGCTGGTATTTGTCAGACAATAAACTTAGCTTTCCTTGTAAGTCTCCTGGAATCTCAGTATCTTCAACTACCCCAAGTTGACCATGCACTATACGTTTAAGGTTAGGAAGGAAGCGAGATAATTCGATTGCTACAGTGAGTACACTGAGCCCCACCGATTTCTACCATTAATTCGTTTGCAGCATCTTCGGAGGAAAAGTGTTCAAAAACGCGATGGATACTTTCACTCGGTCTACTTTTAGAAAGCTCATGGCTTTTCAAACTTGCTGCACTCGGCTCTTCTTTATTCTGAGATATATATTTCATCATAGGTAGATCCCTATCATGGAGAACAGCAAATACTGTCTCGTTGAGCACTTGGGATCGGGGTCATTTTGCATGGCGTCCACGAAATGAATAGAAGCTGGTAAACTTTTTCTTTTCACCTAGAAAGCGATACAGTTGGAGATAGGAGGAATTTTGGCGAGGGCTTTGCAAGGCGCTGTGGTGTGCGACGATGTCGCGTGATGGTTATGGAAGATATAGAATGTCGTTACGTGGTGGATTAGACTACGTGCGTTGAATTCAGGAATGAAGAACGCTTTGACGATTTTGGAGAAAGTAGAGGCGCAGGCTGAGCGGAAGGATTTTGCTTCGGGGGCGAGGTTAGTTGTTGTTTATATAGAAGCTGTATGATTTACTGCGCTGACAGGATGAGAAAACTAGGAATTCAAATCAGGGCATCTGAGATAGAGAAAAAGGTCCCCCTCACATCTCGATCTGTTGAAGAGCCGTTACGCTTATCCACAAATTAGGCTTTCAGTGAAAAAATACAAGTACTTGGCTCTAAAGAAGAGCGCCTGGGAGGACAAATAGGCAGAATTAGAGATTCCACTAGTCCAAGCATAAGAGCCGTGAGCTCATTTGAAGCCTCAAGGACAGCATTTGTCGAAGCTTTAATGCAAGTTGTAGCGGAAGGCTAAGTGGATAAGAAACATCAAAGGAAGGAGAAGGAAGATCGTTAGTAGCAGATATTCATCTATCTAGCTGGTGTGTTCTCGGATTTGGGATGCAAATGATATTCAATGAACTAGCTTTAGGTCCTTTGAGATCCTCGGAATTTTTTGATCAGTGCTCACCATGTCTCTATAGCTCCTTGAATCTTCTTCGGGTCTAGGCATTATTGAGATCTAGGCGCATTTTTTAGTCTCTTAGGAGATTTCGCTCAAACTTGGATATTCGAGGGATTTTTGCAGCATTATGGCCACTTAATCCATGGATTTCCTCGTTATCATCTATCTTCATCTTCCTACATGCCATCAAAGTCTCTGCATCTTCAACTATATCACCATGTTCCAGTCTGCTGCTGTGAAGTCTCGCTATTCGTCCTTGGAATATTTTGGAAATAATTTATTGGACCTTGAAGGAATGTAATGCAGTTAACCTCGTGATACACTCTGTTCCAAAAACATGGTACTAGACCTGAATTGGCAACATGTTGTGTACATAGGAGCGACGGAAACAAATGCCAGAAGAACGTAGAGGTGTTGACGAATATCTCATGGGCCGCCGATCTTGTCCTTCTGTCTGAATAAAACAGGTCCAAACCACGTCGACGAACTACAAGCTGGATCGACTTCGGACGCTTACTTCCAGCTAAACAGACCTTAAAGTCTGATTCTCATTCCACATGAGCTTTAAGTCTGCTAATCCAATGACTGGAAGACGAATCCGGGCGTTTTAGCTATTGACCTCAACCATTCATTGACTTAACCAATTTGATAGCTTCATCAGGATCGGTCAAGCTCCATTGATTTTCCAAAATAGTAGGATTACTGAACTACAGCCCAAAATTTCTGGGTATATGGATTTGCGCCGCTAGGCTGGTACACCTAGTCTCCGTCTCTCTTCTGCCCGAAAAAAAATGGATGGAGCAATCTCTTGGTGAGCTGCCGCATCCAACGGACATGCATTTTGGATTCATAGATTGAAAGTTCATTCTATTTTGGTGGGATGTGAGACGAACTTTCGGCGTTTCCCCAGTATAATTCGCGCTGTATGCGCATTGGAAAGTGTTCATCTTGATATAATCCATGTACTGTACCTAATAAAGGGTATAGTTTTTTCTCTTTAGTAGTCGTCTCTGTACTTCCAATATATAAAATATCAAAAGCTCACCGGGAGTGCTTTCAGGAAGCAAGAACATCGATATCAAAGCATAGAACCAGCAACTAGCGCATCAAGCGGCCGCAATTATCCACCATGCCGCTTCTCCACAATATAATTCTCGACCCAGCCAAACTTTCTTCCCACGCATCTGATCGCATCCCAATTGCGCAGCCACAAAACCAACATACACAATGGGAAAAAACAAACGATTAAAATCCTCATCCAAGAAAATCAAAGGAGGTCGAGGTCCTGGAAAACCCAAACCAAGCGGAATATCCAAGCCATCCAACACCAAAAAACCCATCTCCAATACATCCTCAAAGACCAAATCGCACAAACAAGCTCAACATGTTACTCCTATAATTCCCTTTTCACCCAGCGATTCCATTCTTCTTATCGGAGATGGGGATCTCTCATATGCGCGCTCGCTTATAACACATCATCATATTGAGAAATTGACCGCTACGGTCTATGAATCCTCATTAGCTATTCTCGAGGAGAAATATCCGCAGGTATCTGAGAATGTTAAGGAGATAGAGGAGGGAGGGGGAGTTGTGAAATATGGTGTTGATGCGATGAAGATGCGTGGTTGGACTACGGGGAAGAGTGGACGTGGGGATGGGATAATGGATAGAGTGATTTTTAATTTTCCGCATGTGGGAGGCAAGAGTACGGATGTTAATCGCCAGGTTAGGTATAATCAAGGTTTGTTTCTGCTTTTTTTTTTCAATTGCTGGTCTTTTTTGAAGTTTTGAGGGAAATACTAATATGCGCAATTTATCAGAACTCCTCGTAGCCTTCCTCCGTAACTCAATTCCCTCTCTTTCTCCAAAGAAAGGATCCTCAATAATTGTGACACTTTTTGAGGGCGAACCCTACACGCTATGGAATATCCGGGATTTAGGACGACATGCAGGATTAGAAGTAGAGAGAAGTTTTAAGTTTCAGGCATCTGCGTATCCGGGGTATAGACATGCGAGGACATTGGGGGTTGTGAAGGGTGGTGGTGGGTGGAAGGGAGAGGAGAGACCGGCGAGAAGTTATGTTTTTGTGAGGAAAGGGGAGGGGGTTAAACAGGGGCCTGGGAAAGCAAAGAGGAAGAAGGGGGAGAGTAGTGATGAGGATAGTGAGGGTGAGGATGAGGATATGGGTGACCAGGAGGATGAAGGAGATATTGAGGCGGAGATGGATGGGAAGAACAGGATGGAAGATGATGGATCAGATGATGAAGATGAGGAAGAGGATGATGAAGATGAGGAAGAGGATGATGAGCCTACGAACCAAGATTGGACCGAGACGAGATGAAACAGCACCCGTAGCTAAAAGCAAGGACGGAACGACCTCAATCAGCGACCATGGAATTTCTGACGAGATATTCCCTCTCATTCGATCAGCGAAATATGGCTATTTATTAAGCTTACTTGGCTATCTGCCACACTATGAGATATCATGATCTAATTGTAACCCGTCCTTAACTCCTACGATAACGCCATTTCCACCAATCATGAATTCGACGACCTTTCCCATTTTTCCGGAAATCTAGAGCTCGATTACGTCTAGTGGGAATGACGGCTGTTGCGCCACTATAGGACCATTCATGAGAGGATTTCTGCCCGACATCAACAATGCTTCACCAAGAGAACCCTCTGGATGTAGAGCGTACATTGGTGCTTCCATTATATCTCCGTCGAACAACACCATATTCTGAATTGGTTGTTGTCGATGACCAAGAACGTTGATAACATCTTGTGCAAGTTGACCGCCAAGAACTGCAGTGACAGGGGCTATTTCACTGCCTAGATTTTGGAGGAAACTTCGAAGTACTTCTGAACGTAGAGTTTCGACAGGAAGGCCTAGAGCTGTATGCTTTTTATGCGCTAGGACAGTGAAGAGTTGTAAATCTTCTTTGGTTGAAGGCAAACGACCATTTTGAAGCTGAACAAACTCCCATAAAGCTCGTAAACATGATAGAATTGGAGTTACTGCCTTTAAACGACGTCTGCTTTTGAGATATTCGGCAGGTAAAGTTGCCGCATCACTTGCCAAGAACCAAGTCGAATAGAATTCTCTCTTCGTAACCACCTCCATGGATTTCCCATTCTCTTTTTTTGTCTTGACATCGATGACACTTCTAGTGCGCGTTTCCGGCTGTAGAAGTGTAGGTCTATTGCTTCTTTCTCTCTCCACCACATAATCATGTTGAATCAAATCCGAGAAAATGAAACCATAAAACCCATGAACCCCCGCCGCATAAAAAGGTTTATGATTGAGTCTCGTGGCCGTGTTTATAATATTTAAACTCTCCGGGTCCAAATCCGCAGCAATCACAACATCAAAAGCGCCAAAATATCCCGGTCCCTTACTTTTAATATCATCCATATCCACAATAACATTAACTCTAGGATTCAACTTTCTGATCTGTGGAGCGGCGGCCTGAGCACGATTCGTACCGATATCAGATTCGGAGACGAAGAATTGAGCACCTAAATCGGCTTCGGTGACGATAGCATGGTCGACAATGGTCAAGGAGTGGATTCCGGCCAAAACGAGATTTTTGGCTATTTCGTTCGAGAGAGCTTTCATGGTTATGAGGAGGATGTTGGCATTGCGGATTTTTTCTTGGGCTTGCACTCCCCATAGTCGGATTTGTCGGTCGTAGAGGGCGATTTCATCTGTGAGGTTTGTTGTGTGAGTACTTATGTAGATATCTTCACTTTTTGCTGTTTATTGTTTATTGGGGAGGGAAAGTTGTTGCGGGATAGAATCGATCAACTTACCGGCGCTGATACCTGCTGAAGTCATGATGGGTACGATGTTGGGGTTTGGTACTTCCATGGATGGGAGATCCATTTTGATTATTGGGTATATTGTAGGATTAGGAGTGTGTTGTGAAATGTGGTATGTGCGATGAGATGTGAAGATGGGAATTCTAGAAAGTTTGGAGTTGCTCAGTTTGATTTCGCAGAGCTTGGTGATAAGTAAATGATAAAGCTTAATCTTTGCTATCTTAGCTTGGGTTGAGGTAATGCAAGGCTGAAGTTATGCCTTGCATTTGAGGAGGATTTACATTTGATATTGTGTGTAGCAGAATATTAGAGAATCTCTTTAAAGATTTAAGTATATGAACAATTGAGATATTATATCATTAGACGCTTGCAAAATCAATGACAATTATAATACCAAGC